CATACTGACAGCATTAGGCATATTTCCTGACATCATTCAATGTATTTAAAAACAGATTGGTTTTTTTTTATATTATTTGTTGTTCAAAACATTACAGAGCTCTTGACATATCATATTTCATACATTAGATTCAAGTGGGTTATGAACTCCCATTTTTACCCCAAATACAGATTGCAGAATCACATCAGTTACACATCCACATTTTTACATAATGCCATATTAGTGACTGTTGTATTCTGCTACCTTTCCTATCCTCTACTATCCCCCCTCCCCTCCCCTCCCATCTTCTCTCTCTACCCCATCTACTGTAATTCATTTCTCTCCTTGTTTTTTTTCCCATTCCCCTCACAACCTCTTATATGTAATTTTGTATAACAATGAGGGTCTCCTTCTATTTCCATGCAATTTCCCTTTTCTCTCCCTTTCCCTCCCACCTCATGTCTCTGTTTAACGTTAATCTTATCCTCCTGCTCTTCCTCCCTGCTCTGTTCTTAGTTGCTCTCATTATATCAAAGAAGACATTTGGCATTTGTTTTTTAGGGATTGGCTAGCTTCACTTAGCATAATCTACTCTAGTGCCATCCATTTCCCTGCAAATTCCATGATTTTGTCATTTTTTAGTGCTGTGTAATACTCCATGGTGTATAAATGCCACATTTTTTTTTATCCATTCATCTATTGAAGGGCATCTGGGTTGGTTCCACAGTCTAGCAATTGTGAATTGTGCTGCTATGAACATCGATGTGGCAGTATCTCTGTAGTACGCTCTTTTAAGGTCTTCAGGGAATAGTCCGAGAAGGGCAATAGCTGGGTCAAATGATGGTTCCATTCCCAGCTTTCCCAGGAATCTCCATACTGCTTTCCAAATTGGCCGCACCAATTTGCAGTCCCACCAGCAATGTACAAGAGTACCCTTTTCCCCACATCCTCGCCAGCACTTGTTGTTGTTTGACTTCAGAATGGCTGCCAGATTGGTTATTTGGAGGCATGGTTTTTAAAGCAAGATAATCAAATTAAATAATAGAATTATAATAATGTTGGCTTTTCAGTATTCCTTAAGAGAGGATACACAAGAATTTCCCAGCTACTTTTCAATAATTGAATTTTCATTTTTACTTATTTTTTATATTGTATATTGACAGCCTCAAACATTTGAGTCATCTGTGATAAGAACATTCAAGAGGCACCCTCCCAGCAATGTGGGAATGGACAGTCTTCAACTATTAGCTATATTCACCACATTTTATTTATTTATTTTGAAGTACTGGTTAAAACAACTGCACACCTGTTATGGTTTAGTGCCGGGTTGCTCACGACTAAAATACTCAGGGGTTACTCCAGGGGAACTGGGCTAATTGGGCTGTGCGCAAAATAACCACAAAAGAAACAGAAATACCTATTTCTTTGGGGTTGCTCTGAAAGCTCCTCTGACCTTAAGGGTCTGCAGAAAGAGAGTGAGAGAGCCCACACGCATGGGCTGACCCCTTTTATTGAGGAGAAGCTATTCAAATGAGGCAAGGGGTCAGGTTTCAAGGGGCTGAGTCTAGCTTCATGATGTCCACTGTCAACAGGTTGACTGACATCTAGGTAGGCCACACCCAAGGGCACAGTAAGAGAAGGGGACATACAAAAGGTGTTTCCATGGAACATTCTATCCCAAACAAGATAAGGGGTAATATTACAAAGGAACAGGTGAGCATAGCTCCACCCATGGGGCTGTAGGAAGCCACGCCCCTGAACAAAGACACAGTCCCTTGAACCCTAGAAGAGCGGGGCAGTCTAGCAGCATGGCTGCCACCTGATGCCACATCTCAGGGGAGTTAATTCAGTCACTTCGAGGTTGGTCTCCCACAGTTTAGATATGAGGTGTTCCCAAATGCTCATGTTGAAACAATGCAAGAAAGTTGAGAAATGAAATGATGAAGTCATGAGAATCTTAACCCAATCATTAATCCCCTAATGGGGATTAATGGGGTGGTAACTTCAGGCAGGTAGGGATGGATGGAGAAGGCAGGTCCCTGGGGGTATGCCTTTGGGCTATATATTTTGTCCTTGAGTGAAGTTCTCTCTTTGCTTCTTGGTGGGCATGTCCTGACCTGCTTTCCTCTACTACACTCTTCTGCCGTGATGTTCTACCTCACCTTGGGCTCAGAGCAATGCAGTTGGCTAGGTATGTACTAAGACCTCTGAAACCATAAGCCCCCAAATAAACTTTTTCTCCCTCCTATTGTTTTTGTCAGGTCTTTTGGTCACAGCAACAAAAAAGCTGACTAAAACATAACTCAAAGAAATTAACTTTTTAGTGGAGTACTTAGCTTGAATCAAAGTTCATAATTCCAAGAGAAATTAGAAGCCAATGTAAGCTGACTTGAATAAAGAACATTTCTACCTCCTTTTCAGTTATGTCAGTGCCAAAGCTCTTATACTTTGTGTAGGCCTCAAGGAAAAAATGCAGCCATAAGCCCTGTGTTTTTTGTATAAATAGAGCCTATAGACTACCAGAATCACCTCCAAATTCATTGAAATGACCTCCAATATGCCAGGTAGTAGTACCCAGAATATTCACAACCAATAAACTGTATGTCACCTTGTTTCTCATTGAAGATCATGTTCTTACACAGGTGGTCATTATGGCAAAGCACCACAGCTGAACTTGGGTTGGGAAGACTCTTTCTCAAACAAGTCATCTCTTCTTGATGAATCTGAGAGCTTGGATTCTCTCTTGGGGCATCTGAAAATCCTGAGTGAATGGCTTTTTTGTAACACATACCCTTAAATGTCAGGTTTTTTTGGTTGTTGTTGTTTTGTTTTTTTAGCTCTTCCTTCATTTTGGACACCACAAAATACTCTAGGTTCATCTTGCAGATTGCCTGTCCCAGTTGTATAGTCAGTCATTTCCCCAAGGAACCCTGATTCCTTTCTTTGGAGAATAGTATTAGCAACTAAGATTAATAATAGTTGTTAATTAATAGTATATCTGTAGATATATGCTCCTTATTATTGGGATGTTTCTTTTTGAGTCAACTAACAAAGCAAAGAAACATGGGGCATGCCAACTTATGCATAAGCACATATATATACATATTTTTTTATGTAAATTGTATTTTTATTAAGTTGAACATGACTTTGTACTAATGTCTTAACTCTATTACCCCATGATTTATTTTAGACTCTTCCCCTTGTTTATAAATTCCCACTCCAACCATGAGGAACATGGTTTCCAGCATCTACTATCTGTTTACTCTACTGTTAGTTCCAGATCTATATAGCAGTATCAGAATTATTATTTGTTTAGGTTCTGCAATTTTTTAATTTGTTCTAATTATCAGAATTATTAACCTATATCCATGTAGGAAATCTTATCAAATAGAATGCAGTGCTTATGAGTAGTTCTTTTTGCCTTTAGTCTCATAGACTCCACTCTTTTAGTCAGCTTTTTCACCAAAAGACCTAATAAGAACAATTTTAAAGAAGGAAAAGTTCATTTGGGGCTCATGATTCCATAGGCTGACTCCATTGCCCTGGGCCTGAGGTAAGGCAGAACATCATGGTGGAAGGAGTGAGGGAGGAAGTCAGCCCAGAATATGACAATCAGGAAGCAGAGAGAACTCCAATTACCAGGGACAAAATATACACCCCAAAGACATGCCCCCAGTGACCCATTTCCTCTAGCCACACCCTGCCTGCCTACAGTTACCACCCAGTTAATCTCTATCAGAGGATTAAAGCACTGATCAGTCGAAAGCTTTCCTAACCCAACCATTTCACCTCTGAACTTTCGTGCATTGTCTGGCACGTGAGCTTTTGGGGGGCAACTCCCATCTAAACCGTAACACTCCACTCACAAAGTTACTTAAGCCAGCACCCTCCCTCCCATTCCATTCACTGAGGTCATTTCATGTATTTTCAATCAGATACAATCTCTTGTCACAGTCTGCACTCCATCCTAGGATCCACTGATCTCCTAAACAAATGTCTTAAGATGTGCATACTAGATTCACTCTTTGTGCTATCAAGTTCTATGAAGTTTTGGAAAATGTATTACACAACGTAATTACCATTATGGCACCATGCCAAATAGTTTCACTGTCTAAAAGTCCTCTGTGATTCATCTATGCCGTCCTCCTTCACGCCAAATCCCTTAGAACCACGGGTCATTTTTACTCTATCTGTAATTTTATCTTCTTTTTTAAAGAAGAATACAGAATTATATCATTGGAATCATATCGTCTGTAGACTTTCTGGACTGTCTTCTCTACTTAGCAGTATGCAAACGAGATTACTTCATTTGGGGGGAGATTTGATAGCTCATTTCTTTTTATTGCTGAATAATATTCCCTTGTATAATGTACCATATTGTGTTTATCCATTCATTTATTGAAGGGCATCTTGATTGCTTCTAGTTTCTGGTAAACAGAAATAAAGCTGCTATAAACATTCATTTGCAGGTTTTTCTGTAGACAATGTTTTCAGATCAATTGAGTAAATAAATATCTAAGATTATGATTCCTGGATCATACATAAGTAAGAATACACTTACTTTGATGCAAAACTAAACTAGATATACCATGATATACATTGCCAGTAATGAATGAGAGTTCCTATCCTCAGCAGAAGATTTTTTCAACAATAATTTTATTTTATTTATTTATTTTTTTATGTGGTGCTGAGGATTGAACCTAGTGCCTCACATGTGATAAGCAAACACTCTACCATTGAGCCACAACCTCAGCCCACTGGAAGATTTTTATGGAGGTATGAATTATAATGATGTGGGCAGGGTTTAGAGAACAAGCCAGGATTGGCATCATACCCTGCACCTATTGATGGGGTAAGTGAAGGAAAATTATACTGAAGAGAAGCAGCTCTATGGATTGAGCTGCTTGTGGAGTTAAGGGCTTGGGTAGAGGGTCACAGGAACCCAGGCAAGGTTTGGAGACCTAAAAGGGAGAGATTCAGGCAAGAGATATTCTAACCTTTTCTTCTGCTTGCTCCTGAAGGTCCCCCTGCTGTGCCTCCCATTGACTTCACACAACTGAATTTCGGAGTAGAAGGGACGGTTGATACAACTGGAACAGGTCAGCTTCCCGCTGGGCAGAGCAGGCCAGTGGAGTTGGTGTGTTTGTGTGTGTGTGTGTGTGTGCATGTGTGCCACATTTGTGGATCAAAAGAAAATATCAAGCATATTTTGGTTTCTTTAAATTTTAACTGTTTTTTTTTCCCAAAAATTTTATGTTGGTATTTTGAATTATTTTTTCCTTGGTTTTATTACCAATAGTGATATTACTAGCCCCCCCCCCCCCCAAAAAAAAAGAAAAGAAAAATTGAAAGCTGCTAAAAGATTTGTGAATGCCACATAAATAATATCTAAAATTTTGCCCTTGTGGCTATATTTCTCTGCTTCAGTATCTTTGTCTATATATACATATATATCTATGTGTAGACACATATGTGCATATTTATGTATATAATTAATTTTATAATTTCCCTAGGCAGTAAGTTCTTCTTTTATTGGTAATCGCTAGTATTGGCATATGGGAATTTTAGTTTAATTTGGGCATAAGACTGATGCAAGGAATTAAATATTTGAAACATATTCTGACATTATTGGATCCATACATTTTTTTCATTCAAAAATGAATAAACAAATCATGTCTATTAACTAAGATAAAATTTCCCCTAAAGATAATGGATCCAATCTGTTTTCCAAAGCATGATAAATAGTTCCACTTTAAATATATGATAATCATTTCAAACGTGTTTAAATTGTTTAGCTGTGTCTTTGATACATGCTGGTTTCTTATCATAAATAAGTGCATTGCTTAGGAGATCTAAAAGGTCATAAACTATTTTTTAACTCTACTTCCTTCAATTCAAAATCGAATTTCAAAATTGATTTCAAAATTGGCGACTTCCCTAGTGTTACTGTGAGCTTCTTGCTCCTGTAGGCTTCCTTAACTACCTGTCTTCAACGAGGGGATGTTTCCCGGGGTTTCTGAAGGAAGTAATTAGGGAGGCAACACAATTTTTTTAATCCTTCAACCTCTTTCATTTAATAGAAAATACATCTTTTCAATGCCATTGAAAATGTTCTGGCTAAGGTGACTGATGACTTGAGTTATCTGACCTTTTTATATTTAATTATTTGACCTTTCAAAGCATTTGGCCCTCTTAAGTACAGCTCTTCTCCTGTCCTTGCTGAACTCTCCTGTGTGTCAGTCTGTCTGCCTCAACTCCTGGCTCTGTCATCATTACCTTTATGACCTTCAGTAAAGTCACTTAACATCTCTGGAGCCTGATTTCCTTATAGAAAGTGGGGATTCAATGAAGGAATGAATGTAAGGTGATTCCATAATGCTCGGCACTTCAGAACCACTTAAGTTACAGCCAAGGGTGTGCTGGTAAACTGGCTTGTTAAAAAATGGAAGCCATATTTGTATTATTTGCCCATTTCTTTGGTATAAACACTCCCACCATTCATGAATCTGTAACAATTGGTTCTCCCGGAGCTGCCTTCAGTGAACTACGGACAGCTGCGTTTCCCCTTGGCTTCTTAATCCACTTTGCTCAGTAGGCATTGTGGCCTCCCCTCCTCTGCCTATTTCTTAAACATCATTTCTCTTCAGTTATCTGCCCTAGGCTTTCCTTTTCTTTCACTTGATAGATCTTCCTGAATAATCTTGTTCATTCTTTTAAAGGGATTTGTAATTTGCCTCTCATGCAATTCATTCACTTACAGGGTACAATTCAATGTGGTTTTTCCAGAGTTGTGCATCCACTGGCACGATCAACTTCAGAACATTTTTCATCATTGCCAGAGTAAGCTTCCTTAGAGCCCATTCACCACTTCCTGTCCTCCTCCACCATAGCCAGTTATTAATCAACTTTCTGTTTCCATATGTTTGCCCTTTGGACATTCCATATAAATGGAACCATATAATATGCAGTCCTCTATATTGTCTTCTTTTACATAGCAAAATATTTTCCAGGTTAATCCATGTTGTATCAGGTACCAGTACTCCATTCCTTCCTTTTGCTGAAGAATATTAATATTTGCTGTCCTCATCTACCACATTTTATTCATCCTTTCATCAGATTACTTATGTTAGGTTGTTTATACAGTTTGGCAATTATGAATAATACTCCTAAGACTTTTGTGGGGACATGTTTTTGCATTTTCTTGAGTATATGTTCAGAAGTGCAATTGCCAGGTAGTATGCTAACTCTATGTTTAACTTCTTAGTGAATTTCCAAACTGATGGCCCATAGGCTGAAATATTTCATTCTTACCAACAGCGTACAAGTGTCCCAGTTTTTCTACATTCTTCCCATACCGGTTATCATCTGTATTTTGATTATAATTATCTTAGCATAAAATGGTGGAATAGTATTTCTTTGTCACTTTGATTTTCATTTTTCTGATGACTAGTGATGGTCAACATTTTTTCATGAGCTTATTGACCATTTGTGTTTCATCTTTGGAGAAATGTCTATTTATATCTTTGCCTATTTGTAAATTGAGTTGTCTGGTTGAGTTGTAATCTCAACCACTTTTAAGACTTGAGTTATATTTTTGTTCTTATGACTCTGAAATACATATTTTGTATACAGTTTTGTTGGTTGAGTTTCATGTATGTCTTATAGCTGCCACAAATTCATCATGATTCTCCAAATCTGCTTGACTTTCTCAGTTATCATCCCACTATTCACTCTGAAACCTGAAGGTCATCTTTTTTTAGTCTTTCCCCCTCTAATTATATCCAACTACCAAATATGGTACTTTCTAGCCTCTAAAAAACTTCTAAAATTTCTTTCTCTATTGCCAACCTTATCCATACAACACTGATGTTTTCCGTGAGTATCTGAAATGACCTCTTCACTGACTGTTTTTTTAAAGCTTCATTTCACTCTCTGCACTTGAGAGTATATTTTAATATATAAATTTGGTCTTTTTTTCTTGATTAAAACCTTTTAATGATTTCCTTTCATTTTTAGAATAAAATTTGAATTCGTGGGTTCTATGAAAGAGATACCTTCCTAATAATTTGAACTACCAACAATTTATTGGAAGAACTCAAAATCCAGAGAGTTCTATATACAGGAAACATCTAGGCAGGGGATGAAATTTGATTATCTTTCATGATGATATGGATAAGATCCATGCTAGAGACGATAGAAGCATCATGCAAATACGAATAACACAGAATATAGTTTTAAAGTTGTAAAGAGAGTCATAAAGGAACTGTTGTTGTATCTGAAACACTATCATACACTGTAGCAAAATTCTAAATGCACGATGAATTTGTCCCTGTATTAGCAATAAAATTATATAGTAAATTATAGAACTGGTCAAAATTGTTATTCTAGGGAGTCAGAAAACTGTTAGTATAAAATAAAGATCACTCTTTTGACCAAAATATGATTATCTTTACAATTTTTTGTGTCATTGATAATTTTTGAATTGGATGAAAATTAAGGACTATTTTTGTTAAAAAATATGCTTTCAACCCCAAATTTTTAGATGTTCATGAGGCCTTATAGACCCATCTGTGACATTAAAGGACCCCAAATTTACAGAGTGCAGAGATAGGGTTTGATTATGCTATAAAAGAACTGTGTGTGCATTTATTTTTTAGAGTTAGTCTCACTCACTGTCAAGAGATTTTCAAAAATGGAAATATGAAAAAACTTATTGAGCAAAGGACTTCAATAAAAAATACATTCAACGCACTTGTAAATCTGCACTTGTTTTAGAAAGAGGCATTAAAGGATAAGAAGTTGACTAGCGCTTAATATCAAAATAGCAATCATTTAAATTTGAGGGAGAATTTGAAATAAGTTTATAGACCAAAAAAGTCCACTAAAGGCTTTCTTATGGAAGACTTTTAGATGTGCTTTAAAAGCAAAACAACATTGATTTGGAGAGATACCTATCCATGCTTGAATCTTGATCTTAAGGTTTTAGAGAACTGTAGCATAGTAAGTTCATTTTTCTTTAAATATTATTTTTAAGTGCAATTTGTAACTATAATGACAAATATCCTATTATGGAACTTTCATGGATTTTCAAAATTAAATAATATGCTGATTTACTTTCAAAAGAGAAATATTCAGATTGTGAACTGCCCTTACAGATCAAGTGTCATGAATAAAAGATGTCATTGAATACCAGAGAGACATCATTCATTAGCCTCACCACACTGAATCTAAATTATCTAAACCTCAATACTGCCAACTGCTTTAAGTTTTATGTCACTAAAGACACATCATTAATTTATCAGACTACATTGTCTGAAGGGAATGAAAGATAGTTATACCACTTTCCCAGGCCAAAAGGGAAATAAGAGGAGTCAGGAATCAAAAAATATCTCCTTTTCTCACATTAATTCAGAAGGGGATGAATTTTGAAGGAATGTAGAATGTTGTAAATTATTATTAAATTACAGAGACAAAATTTATTGAATTTAAGATATACTTGGTGAATGTGTTAGTCAGTTTTCCATTACTATAACAAATACCTGAGATAATCAACTTACAAAAAGAAAAGGTTGTTTTTGGCTAATAGTTTAAAAGGTTCCAGTCCATACTTTTGTTCTCATTGCTTTGGGTGAGGTAGCCCATTATGATGAAAGTGGAAAATGATTGGGAAGGAAGAGGTTGAAGAGGGTCCCACTATCCTCTTCAAGGGCACATCCCAAATGACCTAAATACCTCTCACTAGATTCTACTTCTTAAATGTTCTGCTGTTTTGCAAAAACACTATCCTAGGGACCAAACCTTTAACACATAGACATTTGGGAGACATTTAAAAATCTCAACTATACCAGTGCATTTTCCCTCATAATCTTTTAAAATTGCATTTCTTTTAAATGGACTGTATCTTTTGAAATGTAAGAGAGCCTCATTGCTGTGGTCTGAACATTTATGCACCACCACCAAATGCATGCATTGAAATCTAATCACAATGTGATGGTATCACAGGGAGGTGATTAGGTCATGAGGCTTTTGCTCTTATAATATTAGTGTCCTTATAAAAGAAAACACAGAGAGACCGCTTCCCATCCATAGTATGAAGGTATCATTTATAAATAGGAAATGGTCTCTTATCAGACACCAAATTTGTTGACACCTTGATCTTGGACTTCCTAGTCCACAGAACAGTAAGAATTAAATTTCTGTCTTCTCCTCCTCCTCCTCCTCCTCCTCCTCCTCCTCCTCCTCCTCCTCCTCCTTCTCCTTCTTCTTTTTAATAAACTACTTAGTCTATGGTATTTTGTGACAGCAGCCCAAACACTAATATTTTTGTTTTTACCATGAAGAAATCATGTTAGTGTTTTGCAAAAATGGGAGATAGAATAAACTTTCAACCAATGGTGAGAAATTCAATTTTATATGTATGACATAAATGTAATACAATGTACATTTTTCTATAAATGCTTCTTTAACTCTTTATTTTTAACTAATTCTTTTTAATGGTAACATGTTTTTATTTGTTCTTTTTAGACTTCTTAAACTCTTAACATTTTGGTCTTTAGAATTTATGCTTAAGTGAAACATGAAAACTTGAAATTATAAATGTACACATAGATTTTTTTATGTCTGCACTTCAGGTAAGTATTTAATATTTATAATTCTAAAATATTTAAAATTATAAAATAATAATTTTCATGATAAATATTTGAACTACAGATAAACAAAAAATAAAGAATCATCTGTAATCTTACTCCAGAGAGAACTTAAAACTGTGCAATTTATTATTTAAGAATTTCAATTCTACATACAATCATATCAACTAAAATAATGAGAATTATGTGTCATCTTCTTTCCATTGTATATTTATACAATGTTGAATGATTATAGTAATGATGATAATGACACAATTCCTTGCTTTAACAGTACTACTTTGTGACATTTTATCAGTAAGCACAATATCAATGATGAAATAATATACAGTCTTCAACAAGTTAATGCATTTTCTTCTTTAATTTACTAAGACTATTTTTGGAGCAGAAGATATTGGTACCTATTGAAATTATGTGTATTTCCCTATTTTGTATATTAAATTATATTAAGACTTTATCTTGATATTGATAGTTAACTTATCAAACAATATTTACATACACACATATTAATATAGTTTGGACCTAGAATTTCCCCAAAGTTAAAAGTCTTGATTAAAAGACTTTAAAAGTGTTAAAAGTCTTGATTCCCAACTTGGCACTGGGAGTTGATGGAAGATTTAAGAGGTGGGGCCTAGAGGGAGGTTGTAGGTTATTGTGAGTGTGCCCTTGAAGGGTCCTGTAGGATTCAGGTTCTTCGTCTTCCTCCCTCTTCTCTCTCTCTCCACTTCCTGGCCACCTGGTAAGAAGTTTTACTACATTATATTTCTGCCATGTTGTGCTGCCCCCTACCTGAAACCTAAAAGCAATGGAGTCAATCAACCGTAGACTGGAATCACTGAAATTCTGAGTCAAAATAAACCTTTTCTCTTATTAAGTTGACTATCTCAGGCATTTGTTATAGTGAGGGAAAACTGACTGGCACACACATGTAACTATACAGATACAGATAAAGATACACTTCAAGGACTTAAAAAGAAATGCAGATGTCTCTTTCCAGAGTTCTTTCCCTTCTTGAGGTGTCTACCTTAGAGGTATTGAGTCTGAATTAATTTAGTTCAAAATCCACATGTCTTTAAATGATCAGAATATATGTTAATGTATCACGTATATATGTGTGTGTATTTAATTCTGGGGTCTATTATTATTAATTTACTGATCTGTCCTAATGCTAATATCACATTGTACTGATTAATGTGAATTAACCATAAATGAGGTAGTCCATATCCAACAATTTTGCTCTTCAAGATTGTTTTGAACACACACACACACATACACACACACACTCACACATCTATTTATTTATTTGGGTACTGGGGATTGAACTCAGGGGCACTTCGACCACTGAGCCACATCCCCAGCCCTATTTTGTATTTTATTTAAAGACAGGGTCTCACTGAGTTGCTTAGCACATCGCTTTTGCTGAGGCTGGCTTTGAACTCGAGATCCTCCTGCCTCAACCTCCTGAGCAGATGGGATTACAGGCATGAGCCACCACACCTGGCTTTTTTGGACTATATCTGCTTTCCATATAAATTTATAAATCAAAGTTTCAAATTTTACTGGAATTTTCAAATTTCCCTGGGATTGTGATATCACTAGCACTCAGTCTTTGGAGAACTGAAATCTTTAAGATTGAACATTTCCATCTTGAATATGATAGAGCTTTCTATTTATTTTTAAAAAAGTTCTCTCAGTAATATTTTAGAGAAGGTTTACATCTTGTTGTTGTTGTTGTTAATTTCTTCTGATGTGTTCCAGGATACATCCTGTCTCCTAGAATTTGTGCTTTGACTCTCTGAACCTCAGTCTCAGAATGTGACCATATTTGGAGATAAGGCCTTGAAAAGGTAATGAAGTTAAAATGAAGCCATTAGGGTGGGCCCTAATCCAATCTGACTGGTGTTGTTAAAGAGGAAATGTGCACACAGAGCCACCAGACACATGCATGCAGAGAGGGACGACCATCTGAGCACCCTGGGAGAAGGCAGCCGTCTGCAAGTTTCCAATGACTTAATTCACCATTCAGTCACCATCTGTTCACCCTTTTCACTAAATTTTTAACATTTTTAACATTTAATAATATTTGTTTTACAGTCCTCTTCTGCTAATTGCAATATCTGGGTCATCTGCAGTTTCTGCTCCCATTTACGCTTTTTGTTATTATTGAGTCATATTGTGAATGTTACATTGTCAAGTCTTTTGCCAAGAATTGGTTTTAGATGTTGCTAAGATGTGTCTATTTTTTTTTTTTTAGTTCTAGGGCAGAGTCTTTTTCCCTAAGGTACTGTCTTGAAGCTCCATGACCTGAACTAGTGTCTCAGTACAGCTTGAAATTGAATCAAGCTTCTACTGCATGAGAATCAAAGATGACGCCACACACCTGCCCCATGCTTCATGTGAGACTATGACCACCCATCTTACAAATGGCTGACACTGAGCACAGAAGAGGCTGTGCAAGAAAGCAGGAATGTCTCCAACAACCACTCCCTTGCTCTAAGAAAGAAATGACACCAATTGGCATGCATTACTGAGTCAATAAAGTAAATAGGCTAAAAATTGGATAATTAAGAACTGCCAAAAAATCTTAATATTTTTTTTTCCTGAAGCCCAATGTCAACATGCAAACCTTCATATTGCTGTTTTTGATGTTGGATTAATGAATCGTATACACCTGTACATTTATTGATTTTGTTATAAATTAGTTGTATATATTTTACATACAACATAAACAGTAGCTTTTCAAAATGTGTTTTTTAAAAATGTGGGTTTCTTCTTCTTTTTCTTTCTGACACTAATGCATACTCCTAGTAGATATGGTGGGATACTTAGAAACGTCATTGTTGCAATATAAAATCTGTGTAACTCCATGGACAGGAAGTTGCATTAGAGCATTAATACATAGAGATGGACCCAGGGGCCATCTTTTTTTGTGCATCACTGATATCTGGTTTCTGGCTTTAGCAGATTGACAGTTTTCTTATCAAGCAAATTTGATTTTAAAAGAAAATTTAAAATCTTAATTATTAGATTACTAGTCCCTCTCTTCAATAGGAGCTAGACAATGGGGTGCTCAGTAATTCATGCTTGCCAACCTGTGGAGAAAGCTCAGTGTATGGGGAGAGAATTGACAAGCTATTGAGAGATTTAGCAGAGAGGAAAAGGGAGGCAGAGGAGAGACTCCTGGCAGCATCTCGATTGATTTTTCCAGTTTTTCCTGAAGCCCAATGCTTTCTTGTTCCTATGAAGTCACATGAAATAGCCTACTACCATGTTGTTTAATTCTTCTTTTTGCTTAGTCCCCCAAGAATTTGGACAAATACATCAACTATATCTAGAAACCATTATTAACAAACTTGGTTGGGTAAATAATAATACATATATGCCTAATTTTTTGTGTATTGTTTTTAAAACATGGCATTATATCCTAAACTTTTAAAGTTATTGAGCATAGTTTATGGTGCAGTTTTATTGAATGAGTATACAATCATACAGCTGTGTCACAATTTATTTGATCATTTTCTTATTGAGCAAAACTTAGTTTACTTTAGCCGCCGTATTTTTTTTTTTTGTGTGTTGAATATTTAGGTCTTAAATATGTTTGCATACAAGTAAGGTAAAATTCATGGAATTAAGCAAATCTGATTTGGTTTTGTTTGTTTTTGAGAATTTGCTATGTGCCAAACCATCGTTTAACATGGGAAAAATATATGGGAGCATCTAACATTCTTTGTATTCAAGGTATCTATATGATGGCTAGGAAAGACTTATACACAAGATACTTGATGAAATCTAAGAGAACGTATGTAAGTTTAAACCTGTGATACACAGAGGGAAACAGAAAAGGTGCTGAGAGGGGCTCGTCCACTGTTTCACATGTATTTTAGGAGCGACATACAAATATTTAAAATATATCCCAATCTGTGCCAATCATATGACCCGGCTACCATCGAAATACAAATATGACCTGAGTCCCAGCTATAGAAACAAGACTTAGCACGACTTGACACCTTATTTTCAGCGGGGCATTGCAGACAAGCTCTTACCCAGATGTGAAGAGGCTGGGAGCCACGCCACACAGGGAATAAAGAAGAAAGCTCCTTCTGGGAAGAAAGCAGCTGAGTCTAGATCAGAGGAAGCAGCAGGAAGCAGAAGGCATCCCCCCACTCCAGTTTCAATCACTGACCACTCACAGGGAGGTCTGGGTACTTTTAAAACAAACTTTGTATTATTGTTGGTCTGTTTTATGGTCATAAAGGAGGTGTCTTGAGAAGCATGGGGATTTTTAGTCTTTTTGTCCTTGAAACTTCATAGCTCATTCAAGAATGAGTCAGCTCAGGAGTGTCCTCTTGTTTTTATTTGTTGGCATTTTAACAGATATCTTAGTCAGCATTTTTTGCTGTTGTGACCAAAATGTTTTCTCAAAGCTGACTGATTTAAAACAACAGAACAAGCTGGCAGATGCAGACAGAATTTGACACATTCTCAATATTAATGACCAGGTACATCCCACTGATGCCCTTGGGTTCACTTCCCCTTGGATGTCTAAGGAGCAAGGAGGTGTTGAAGTGGTACCCCCTTTCTTCACAGAAAAGCCATCCTCACCATGGCTGATTTTAAGACTGTCAGCAAAAGAGTCTCTGCAAAAGAGTTCAATGCAGATAAACTTCCTATTTTCGTGTCACCCTGTTTTACTTGGCCACTGGCCGAGAAGATACCAGCACTCCAGGTGCTGGACACCCATTTCCTAGTTTTCACAAACATATGCAGTATAATACTTTGAAGAAATGTGCAAACAAGGCCTCTGGCCTTGAGCTGGGCTTCACAGAGATGTCTACATTTTTAAGATAAGTTACAAATGGGCTCCATGGTAACAGCTGGCAGGGGGAGGAAAGAAAGGGGAGAAGAAGCTCTCCCCTTCTCAGGTGTTGTCCTTGAAGAGTTAACATGCCCAAAACAGTGAAAGAAAAAGCTGCTTTTATGTGAACTTCTGCAGACTGTGAACTTCTGAGCCCCTCCCCCTACATGCTGGGTATAAAACTCTGAAACTCCCTGAACTCGGTGTTCAGGGGATTAATTGATTATAGCAAAAGCTGTACCCTCTGAACCTGGCTGCAGCCAAATAAAACTGTTACCTGCTAACTCTGGTGCCTTGCCTCGTTTGTCCCTACAACAGTGTGAACAAATGGCAGTCCCAGGAAGCCATAGCTCTTACTTCTGTTTGAATCGGCAGTCATCTGGAGTCAGAGTGAGCCCCACAGCACGTGCGTGTAGTCCCAGCTACCTAGGAGGCTGAGTTCAAGGCCAGTCTGGGCAACTGAGGGAGTCCTGTCTCAAAAAAATTAAAAGATGAAGTGAGCCTCCAGCTACTCCTACTGAGACAAAGTGTTATTTAGTACCAAGTTGTTCTACTGCAATGTGCTTAATTTCCTAGAAGAAAGATGGCCAAAAACAAATTAGAATTACTGCTCTGTACATGAGCTTCATTTTGCACTAAGCAAAGAGGGCAAAACATACTTTCCTCCAGAGCCACAAGGGATCAAATCTGAGTTCCTGCTCCCACCACCTACAAGACACATTGATTTCAGCCTTCAACAGATGACATGGGAACACTAATGGGGAAATGACAGGAAAGACTCGTGTCCTACAGGAGAGGAAGAGAGTTATGTCTTTGTATAATGTACCTATGATTGTTCCATAATCATTTATGAAAGATTAAAAACTACTGAGCATGGAAAGGCACTTCTCTGTATTCATGTCATTCTGTAATTGTGATTTAGAACTCTGGCTCCTAATCAGATAATTGATATTGACAGTAGATGTGATATTTCTGGAAAATTTAACCTTCATGAGAAGACTGTGTGTGTGTGTGTGTGTGTGTGTGAGATTAGATGATAATTGAGTAATTGATTACAGGATTCATGTGCAGTAAAATTAAGCAAGGGGCCATTTGTTTTGCCTACATGGCTTAGTGAGGCCTTGCAGTACACCTCTGAGGAAGGTATCTCTTTTGGAGACCAGGGACTGAAATTTCTGTGAGGCTGAGGGCCACACAACTAGTAGGACAGGCCAGGTTACCCGATGCATGACCTTCTGACTATCCCATAAAATATTCTCCACCTATCCACATATCCACAATTTATTCAGTTCTTCCATGTTAAGAGTTTTTAAAAAATGATGGGTCACATATATAACATTGACCATCTTAATCATTTTTGAGCATGTAATTCAGTAGTATATTTGTATTGTTGCACAACTCATCTCCAGATCTTTTTCATCTTCTCTATAACCTATACCCTTCTACCCTGCACCCTATACCAATACTTCTCTGAAACTTTACACCCATTAAACAGTTTTCCATTTCTCCTTCCACTAATCCCTCTGGCAACCACTATTATATTCACTGTTTTTATGAATTTGATAATTTAAATACTTTAGATGCCTCATATAAGGGGAATCATACAGAAATTGTCTTTTTGTGACCAACTTATTTTACTTGATGTCATATCCCGTTGGTTCCTTCATGTTGTAACTTGAGTCTGAATTTCTTTTCATCAGCTGCATACATAATATCTCATTCTATCTGTTTACCACACTTTATTTAGCCATTCATCCATTAATGGACACTTTTGTTGCTTCTACTTGTGGCTGCTGTGAATAATGCTCCTATAAATGTGGACATGCAATACCTCTTGGAGACCACTTTCAATCTTTGGCATGTATACCTAGAAGTAGAATTGTGGGATGAAGTGGTTCTATTTTAATTCTATATCTGATATTTAAGGAACCACGATACTGTTCTACAGTGGCCAGATCATTTTATATTTCCACTAACAGTACACAAGTATCATAATTTCTCACCATCTTTGCCAATACTTGTTGCTTTCTTTTTTAAAAAGTGCTTCATTAAAATACTGAGCTTATGCCCCATGTGTTATTCTTGTCCTCCTGCCATTTCCATGTGGGATCACCTATGCTGCTATGACTTTTCTTAACATCCTTGTATGATTAAAATCAAACAAAGGGTGGAGTTGCATCTTTAAAAACAGAACTGGGATTTTGGACAACATATTCTTGGCAGTGGAACCTGGACCACATTTACCCAGCACGACAGGGAAAGTTCTCATCCTGCGTTGTGTGAAACAGACAGCCAGATGTCTGCTATTGTAGAAATTAAACTAGAGAAAATCTTAACAAGTGGTTTAAACTATTTTCTTAAGAGACTTTCTCCACTGCCAGGGATCTCGAGTAGCCTCCTGATCAGTCATCTGGAACAATTCCTCACATAACTGAGAAGAGAACCCCATTCCCATACTAGCTTACATTTTTGGTCTAATGTTTTCTACAGAACTAGGTCTTTGAGGTTTTTTTTTTTCCTTGTCTTTTGATGGGTTATTGACTTTTTAATGGTGTGGATGGTTTTGAGCCTTTTCCATTCTGTTTGATTTTTGTGCATCTTGGGCTGGAGTGTTCTATGTAATTTTCTTCACTGGTGTTTTTTCTACAGTTTTGTCCTCATCAAAAATCATCATCATCATCATCATCATCATCATCATCATCATCTCTTCTTTTTCTTAATCATCATCATCTTCCTTGGTAGCAAGTGTAATTTTTTTTCCTGTGGAAGCTTGCTACCTCTTCAGGGGGGCAGATCACTTTCCAGGTAGACTTTAGAGTTTTG